ACTCTTAGGAAATGAAGTTAGATCTCATACACCATTGATCAATCAATAAACAAATAATCTAAACTCATCTTTTTGGACACATTGAGTAGGCAAGGTCTTGAATTGGAGTGCCTCTTCTGATAAGGCAATCCTTAGTTAGATCTTCCCAAAGCCCAGTAGACAAAAGCAGAAAATTGATTCTATTGAACTTACCAACTTGCCATTCTTCTTTACTTTGGTGATTAATCACCTGAAGAGTTCCAAGGCATAATCCAATTCCTAATCTTGGGGGTTTCTTTGAACCCTGCAAATATAGATTTGCAAACTCTAATTATATTTGTGTCATACTTAATTCTAAAATTTTTCCCTTATGTATAAATAACTTAAGTGCTAACTTTGCATAAGTTATTTACATGCATGTGAGTCATGTGACTAATATTTGTCCAAGTATTATAATGTAACAATAGTTAGATATTTTATTTAGGTTAGTTTATTCTTTTTTTATTGGAATTAACTATTGTATTTATTGACTAAAGGCACTATTATTGTGTGTATAATAAATAAATAAGATTTTTCCGATGAACTTGAAATTGTTTATTCTCCTTTTGTTAACCACCATTTGTTTGGAAAATGAATTCTTAGTATCTTGGTAACTTATGGTAAAATTGATCCTTACATTTAAAGAAAGGAAGAAAATTGATCTTTGCCATAGTGGGTTTTGTCACTGATTACCTTTTTGGTTCATTCCAAATTATGATGTTCATCTATGCAGCTGTAGTTGTCCTAACTATTTTGATTACATCTTCTCCATTGTCTAGATCATATTAAAGCTGAATTATATCCCAAGCCCCACCCAGTAGCTTGAAAGAAGAAACCCACTAACCAACAATAGAAGTAGGTATTGTAACAAACGTTATTATTAGATGTCAAGTTTTTATTATTAGGTATCGTGTAACAAACCTTTTAACCTTTTTTTCCCTTTAGATGATAAATCTTTTTTCATTAGTTTAACAAAAATAAAAGCCCTCAATGTTTAGTCTCCTAACTATTACAAACATGCACATACAAGTATATTGCATATATACAAGTTTTGTTAGTCAGCTTTTCATGAACATTACAACATTTATAAATTTTCAATGCATGGGCCATTTTACTAGTATTATAAAAAATATGGTAAAATACAAAAACCTCCCTTGAAATTTATGAAAATCATAAAAACCTCTCTTATAGTTTCATTATAACAAATAACTTCTCTGAACTTTTGAGAAACTCGACAAAAACCTCCCTTCTGTTATTGTCCTAAACAGAAAATGCTAGCTGATGCATTAATCTTTTTAAATACCAAATTTACCCTTCCATCACTGCCGTAGACGTTAGATGGAAAACGTCACTAACCACCCGTGTGGCAAAGGCACTAGTGCCATCCTCTTTGCGTTATTCCTTCTCGTTGGCTAGGTCGGACCTGGACCCATATATGCTTTTGAGAGATTTCTAAGGCGAGATCAAGGTAGGTTTGGGTGACGAGATCAACGGAAGGGGGAAAATTAATGTTGCAATGGACACTTTTCCCATCTTATTACAAAACTGGTGTCATTCATTTCAGAGATGAAAAAGAATAAGCAACAACGGAATTAGTAAAAGAAATTTTAGATCTCTAAATTTGTACATTAAGAGCCTTCAACCACCTTTGTAAAATATGTTAAATCATCAAAATCGACTCATTGAGGAAGGACTCAGCTGGTTGTGCACCTGTGAGGCTGTGACTCATCCCTAGTAATGACAAGGATCTCGTTATCATGGCTGCTTTGCATGAACTACTACTCAACAACACTAAGACCCCACCCTTAGAAGAGGAAGATAGCAGTGGTTGCAACGATGAAGATGATACCGAAGAAGAATCCCCTCCGCCTTCGCCTATGATGTCTCGTTGCATCTTATAACCTCAGTTTGGAAGGAGTACGAATACAAATATGTAGAATGTAAAACCTTGTATTTTGTATTACTTCGTATATAATTGTACTGTACATATTTGTATTTGTACTCGTTCCAAATAGAGGCATAGGAAAAATCCATGGACAATGATCGCTTTAGTGCTACAGGCAGTAATTGTGGTGGGTTTCTCTCAGTGAGCAAAATAAGAGAAATTATTGTATCAACAATAATTGCAAACAACACCCATAACGCATTCTAATGCTGACTTCAGATCTCCAGAGTTTGAGGCTTCAACTAGACGTTGAGTCTCAAAGAACCATTCAACCTAAAAGCTTAAGCTGTTATTAGGTAAGGTCCTTGAATAGGTTGATATTCTTTAATATTGAGAGACTTCTGTCTCATAATCAACATGAAAGACTTGCTTAATTTACAAGGAAAAAAATCCATTAGAGTGACCAAAGACTGTCATTCTTTTGGGGATGGACTGACAAGTTTTCCAGCTAAGCAAGTTGCAACTTCAAGCGTTAGAAGTCCACAGTGCTGGTATGGATTTGTGCACTTTCTTGGCTATACTATGTCTTTCCGTCTTGCCCCTGTTTCCCGGTTTGGGAGCTAAGAGTTGAGGCTTGGGAGAAAAGTGAGGAAAAGTTGATAGTAGTGAGCCCAGCTAGGGGGGAGGGAATGATGTGCCTTTTATAGGTGATGTTTGACTATTAATCATAGTGTGTGATGGAAGGGTAAAATTGGTATTTAATAAATAATGCATTAGCTATCGTTTTTCGTCTTATTCAATGACGGAAGGGAGGTTTTTATGATTGTAAGAAACTTTACAGGAGATTTTTATATTTTACTCTAAAAAATATTATCCATGCATATCTGTGTTTGTAAATTTAGAAAGTAAAGGTCACGATTCTAGCAACTACTTTGACGGGTGATGGGTTGAAAATATTATTTTGAAGTTTGAACCAAGCATTTTTCTAATTTAAGTTTGATATATGAACATAATAATAAATAAAAAAAAAACTTACTAAAAGGTTTGAGACTTTTCCTCAAATGCGTGACAATTTCCAAGTGTATGATTTTGATATTGGGATGCTATCAAAAGCGTATAATATTTTTATGAAACAATTGATCACTACCAAGTAGGAATGTAGTAAAATATTAGGGCCCACTTGGTTTGCTATTGGAATCAGAATTGAAATCCCTTGAATTGGTTCAAATGGGAATTAGAATCAACTGGAATGGGATCTCATTCTCAAAGAGAAGAAGGGTCTGTTCCAAAGAGATGTCAGGCGCTGCTTCCCTTATCGCAAATTCTGAGTTCACTCTGCTTAACTCTTTGGTCCATTTATCTAACATCTCATGAGGGCCAGTTCCATACAAATACAAACAAAACAAGAAAAAAAAAGCATTAAAGATCATTGCTTTTTCATTCAAAAAAATAAATCAGGAAAGAATTCTAATATCCATTCTCTGAATGCTAAGAAAGGATCAACATAGGAGGAGAGAGAGAGAGAGGACTTGAAATGCAAATGATCCAAAAGTGCATTCTTTCATAGGCTTTATTTAGTTTAAAAAACCTAAACCCTCCATTCAAAATGACGTGAAAAATGAATAACATCTCATTGGAGGGTATGTAGTGCAGCCCTTTTGAAGGGGTGTGGTCAATATGCTTTCTCTCCATTCTTTTCTCCCTTCTGGTTCATTATCATTGTCTTCAAACTTTCGAAGGCTCGGCCATCGTTTCTTTGAAGTCGATCCTTTTACAATAACTACCCTAGGCTTGCGTAGCACCTTCTAAATTATAAAAAAAAGTTGATCCTTTTACATGAAGCAAGTAAATATTGATATTTATTGAACAATAGGAATGGGTAGTAGGAAACAACAATGGGAGCAAAATGAATAGGTTTATGAGTTTTAATGACAAAGCCATAGGAATGGCAATGGGGTGGGTTTGGGGAAGGGGCCATATTCCCCATCCTTTGCCCCAACTTTGAAACAAATTCCCATCCTTGACTCCAATGGAGACGAGTTCTTAATTGGGAACCCAAATTCATGAAATTTTTAAATTAATTATTTAGAAAATAGATTCACTTAAAATAAGTGAATTTTTAATTTTAAAATATTAAAAAATATTTTGATATATAATATAAATAATATTATATCATGTATATATTTAATATATATAATTGGGATTGGGGTGGGGTGTGGAATTCACTCCCCATCTATGTCCCTATCTCTAATCAGGTATCACTATCAATCCCCATCCTCACCCGGTCTCCATCAAGGCAATCTCCATCCTCAACCCCATGGACTACTTAATAGGGGTAGAGAAAATTACCATCCCTAAGTAACCCAAACCTGTTTTTATTTCTCTTTTTGGTAAGATTATAAGAAGAGTAAGCCCGGCCTAAGAGTTAGTAAATTTGCATATGATAATATGGGCATTGTATACATACATACCCCTATATTTTGAAAAAAAAGTTCACAAACTGCACTGTTTTTAGAAATATTTGGGAAAATAATACAAATCATCAAAAAATAGAATATAACACGAATAATAAGGATTTTTTGAGAAATATGGGACAAAAAAATTGGGAACTGAGAACTTTTAATTTGTAATATATTTTAGAATTTAAAATATATTTTTGTTTTACATGTACAATATAAGTTTACCGAACTTTCGTTCACAATTTATGGGTTTTTTTGGCTCTATTCTTTGTCCTTAGTTGAAAAAAAAAAAAGAAGAAGAAGAAGAAATAAGAATACAAGATTAGGAGTAGTCTCCACTGGCTCGGGTCACCGCGGCACCGCCTTGGCGCCCTTGGTGCTAAGGCGGTTTGGCCGGCCTTGTCCCATTCCATTGGTTTAACTCGGTCCGGGTTCTTCAACATGGACCGGATTATCTAGTATCTACTCTGATCCGGGTGCTCGCCGACCGCTCACCCGCTCCATCATTTCTATGATTCTATCTCCCCTCTCCCTCTTGCTCGTTTCTCTTTCTTGACTCTCGTGGGCGTTTCGTAATGGGCTTTCAATTGTAATACAAACCGGCCCAAACCAGTTCAGACGGTAGACCGAAATCCAAATTTATCTTCCCACACATTTTTTAGACACGAATATAGAGAGACGCAGAAACTGAGACCTCCTCCTTTTCTTTTCTTCCCATTTCTACCGAGCTTCGATCCAATCTTGGATTCACAGAAGAGGAAGACACTGAACTGGAGAAAACCCTAATTTCTAACCTAATTGAAGGAGGCTTTCTATTTCGATCTATAGATCTGTGCCGAATTGGCTCTGCGAAGGAGGTGCGGATCTTAGAGTCTTGGTTCTATCGGGAGCTCACGCTATGGCTTGCATAAAAAGCGTTAACAGATCGGCGTCCGTCGCCTTCTCGCCGGAATCGCATTACCTCGCGGCTGGGACCATAGCCGGTGCGGTAGATCTGTCGTTTAGTTCTTCTGCGAACATTGAGATATTCAAGCTCGATTTCCAGTCGGACGATCGCGAGCTCCTGCTTACTGGTGAGTGCCCGAGCAGTGAACGGTTTAATCGGCTTTCGTGGAGTAAGACTGGATCTGGAACTGAAGAATTCTCCCTCGGACTTATTGCCGGAGGGCTTGTTGATGGACATATCAGTATTTGGAATCCTCTCACTCTTATGCGGTAGTTATTCCATTGTTGCATTTATTGAATTCAATTTTATTAGTTGTGTTCAAAGATATTGCATTTCTGCTCGATCAAATCGGATAGTTCACTGGTTACATCACCTGCTTCCAGAATCCAGTGGAATTGATAGCTCACAGATAGATTTTATCTCTCATTTTTTTTTTGATCAATAACAGTAACTTTGTTAAAAATATATGGAAGATTTTATTTCTCATTTGATGTCCATTTGTGCGTGAAGTTAGAATTTATATGATCTTCATCGGTTCTTATCTGACTGTTATTATGATACTCGTTTTGTATTTTTTATTAAAGTTAATTCTTTTTCGAATTAGATCATAAATCTATTCTTTTGCTTCAATTCTTGCTTCTTACTGGCATTCCTACTGTCCACATTTTGACATGTCGAGTTTGCAGTCACTGGGATGGCAAATTCCTTTTCCTCATAATTTTTTTTTCTAAATCAAATATTCCACCATCACTATTTCTATTTTTCCCCCTCCGAGAACATACGTGGGCTACATAATCTTTAAAGTCCCAAAATGAGGGCCAATAAGATGGCATCATGGCAATCTGAAACTGCACCATTGACGTTTTACATGGAATTTGTGTTCTGGGGGCACATTAAACATGATATTCTTCTTTGACCAATAATTGAAACTTGAGTTATATTAATTGAAAAGAGTGTAAACGTGCATGCGCATAGTTGTCAAGGCGCTGAGTTGAGGCTGAGTGACAGGCAGCGCCCTGTTGCCTAGATGGCATACCTGACCTGATCATAATGGCATTGATATTTTTAATATGTAAATTTACTTGTAAGTTGTAACTTAGTTTTTTACCCTCTTTTATGAATTATATTGCTACAAGAAAATATTAGAAGCGTTCTAACATGAAAAATTGAAGCATTAGAATTTAGAAGTAGAGTTAAAGTAACATACGTTAGCCTAAGAAAACAACCAGGTGGTGTTGCCCATCTTGTTAGTTCAAGAGGGTGATACATAGAGAATATCATGTGTGTGTGCATTTCTGTTAATAAATCAAACAATAGGAAAAGGAAAACAAATGATGGGACCAAGCCCTTGTTATGTATAATGCAATAAGGGATGCAGAGAAGAGAACATGTTTGAGCGTTCTAATTGTGAAGAAAAAGGAAACAAAATGAAGGCAGTAGCCCCTATTATGGTACAGTTAGAAGGGTGGAGGTTTTTCAGCTTAATAAATAACTAAATTCTCTTCTGTTGATAAAAAAAAAAACAGTTAGAAGGATGGAGGGTAACAAGAGCAGCTGTAGTTTGGACCATTTGGGAAGAAAGAAATCAAAGGATTTTCTTTGAGAAGAGCAGATCTAAGGGGGAAGTAATTGAAACAATAAAAATCAGATCTACACGCTAGGCTGAAACAGTAGTTATTTTCAAAGATGTTTCAACAAATGACATAATGAGAAAATGGAAGGAAGTGGCACAAATGGAAATGCATAAAGAAATTATCAAGATGTATTGGAAACTTCTAGAGCCAAATAAATTGAACCTGAACTTTGATGGTAGCTCCTTTGGGAACCCAGGGAGGGAGGGAATGGGGGGAGTTTTCAGAAATCATCATTGAGAAATTGTGGCTTTGTTCTCAGGACCAATTGGGTATGGAGACTTGGTTCAGGCAGCTGTAATGACACTCTTGCAAGGCTTGAAATTAGCAGTGCAATTAGAAGCTAGAGAGTTGGAAGTGGAAGGGGACTCACTGTTGGTCATCTCTTGGGTGAAGCAAGGAAACTCAGCACCATGGAAGTATAGATTTGCTTTCAGGGAGATTGAATTACTGGCTAAGAGCTTCAACTCTACATTTGGGTGGACTAAAAGGACATCAAATAGATTGGCAGACACTCTAGGAAAAAAAATGGAGTTGATAGGCCTTCTCTATTTTGGGCAAAACTGTAGCTGGATGTGTTAAAACAGAGGGTTGATGATCCTTGTATTCTGGGACCTTTCTATATCGTTATACTCTGGAAAATGCTTGTAATCTGTTTTTAAATTAATAAAAATCCTCTTTTGCTGATCCAAAAAAAATGATTGTAGATGATTTGAAAAAATTGAACCTAATCCTAATTTTCCTTGGAGGGAGATATTTTTTTTTGTTCATAGAAATTGAGAGAGAAAAAGCAGAATAAGCCTCTTGTTTTTTCCTTGATGGGAAATAAAGGTTCATTGAAAACAAGAAATAGAAGGGGTAAAACATGCCTCTTATGAGTAATACATAATGAATACTTTTAATTGAACATGCTATTTTCTCATTGTTGTCATGTTTGCCTTAAACACATTTTATGCCTCTGTAAATTGGAAATGGTTTTTGTGATGTTCTTTATTTTTGCCTTAAACACATCTTATGGCTATGTAAATTGTAAACTGATTTTTACTTTTTATGATGTCCATTAATATGCTTATAACCTTATTTATACAATCTGATATGGTTTATCTGCATTACACCTAATTTTGGTAAACCTGCTATGTGAAAATACTAAGCTGAGGCACAAGGTTACTCTGAAAATGCATTATCGCTTCCCTTGACAACTATGTAGATTGTTAATTTTTGCCTTCCACTTCTTGAAGTAGAGAATTAGGGAAGTCACATTGGACATACATAATTTGGGACAATTCATGTTATTCTCTCTAAACCATGAGTAAAATCTTATTGAAGCCTATTTTTTTATCCTTTTTAATTTTACATTCGAGTTGGATATATCCAACATGGAAAAGTCCTGAACTTTCTTTTTTTTTCTTTTATGAGGATGAACTGTTTTTTTCCTCAAAATCTGCAGAGCAGAAAATTTCTGTAGTATAGATAAAAAAAAATCTGTAGTTGGATTGATGACACAAATATAATTTTTTTTGCAGCCAAGAGGAAATTGAAGGGGCCCTTGTTAGTCGTCTTACTAAGCATACAGGACCTGTAAGTTTTCATTTTTTTTTTGTGTTTTCCCTGGCACAGATTGCAATTACTCTTCTATCTCTTGGATGCTTTCTAATAATATTCTTTCTGACATGATCGGTATTGTATGAAATTCTCTGTAAGCACAGGTTCTTGGTTTGGAATTCAACAGTATCACACCAAATCTACTTGCTTCTGGAGCTGATGGGGGTGAAATCTGCATATGGGATATGGCAAACCCAGTAGAACCCACTCATTTTCCACCTCTCAAGGTTTGTAGGTTCTGTGGTTCTTGATGCAAGCGAAACCTTATCCTTGCCTTTTCAAGTGCTTAGCATATAAAAAAGTTACTTATTCTCAACCACTTCAACTTGGAAACTGTTAATACCACTTTCATTAAAGCAAGGGATTCAAAAAACACATGTTTTGGGCGCATTTGTAATTCTGTTCTGGGTCAGCTTACTGTTCCAACTTCAATAAAGTAAGAAAAGGTGAAGAAAATGATAGAAGAAAGAAAAAGAAGAAGATAGGAAGAGAAAGAGAAGGGAAAGAGAAGAAAATGAGAAGAAAAGGAGAAGAAAAGAGGGAAGACTAGAAAGGAGAAATCTGTTCACCTCTCCTTACTGTCGACCTAGGTTGTATTAGCATTCTACTAAAGCTGAAATGACTACAATACCCTTAAGATTTGTTACAGCAGATATAAGAGAGAAAGAATAACATGAAAAAGACGATACTGCCCCTTTTAACTACTTCTATCAATTCTAACATTCACCCTCAAGCTGGAGCATATATATCATAAAGTTCTAGCTTGTTACAACTATAGTCCACCCTTGAGCGACCCACACTTTTAGTAAAAATATTAGCTACTTGGTCTTCAAATTTAGCATAGGGAGTAACAACCTCTCCACTTGTCACTTTCTCTCTCACGAAATGGCAATCAACTTCAATGTGTTTAGTCCTTTCATGAACATTGGATTAGAGGCAATATGTGTTGCAGTTTGGTTGTCAAATTGTGATATTCATCTCCTAAAGAAGATGCTTCAACTAGACTAGTTCACAAGTAGCATGGGCCATTGCCTTGTATTCAGCTTCAGCACTATTCCTAGCAACTGCATTATGCTTTTTGCTCTTCCAAGTAACGAGATTTCTGCATAGTAAAGTACAATAACCTATAGTAGACTTCTTGTCCATCGGAGACCCTGCCCAATCTGCATTTGAGTATTCTACCAGAGACATATCTCCCCCTTTCTTGTACAAAATCCCTTGACCAGGAGCACCCTTTAGATATTTCAACACCCTCATAACACCATCCCAATGAGTAGTTGTTGGATTTTGCATGAATTGACTGAGGACTCCAACACTAAAGGAGATGTCAGGCCTAATGATGGTAAGATAGACCAACTTGCTTACTAGCCTCCGATACCTTGTAGGGTCTTCTAATAGCTTCCCCTGACTATCAACCATCTTCACATTGGGATCCATGGGAGTTTCAATTGGCTTGGATCCTAACAACCCAGTTTCATTCAACATATCTAAAACATACTTTCTTTGGGACAGGGAGATTCCCCACTTTGATCGAGCTACCTCAATTCCAAGAAAGTACTTCAAGTTCTTAGATCTTTAGTTTGAAAGTGTTGCTGTAGGAACTGTTTCAACTCATCAATTCCATGTATATCATTGCCAGTGAGAACAATATCATCAACATACACTGTTAGAATGATCTTCCCAGATGACGAGTCTCTGCTAAACATAGAGTGATCAACACTGCATTGTTTCAAGCCAAAATCTTGCACCACACTACTAAAACGACCGAACCATACCGACGGTGATTGTTTCAGCCCATAGATAGCCTTCTTCAATCGACACACCTTTCCTGACTCCCTTTGAGCAACATACCCAGGAGATTGCTCCATATATACCTCCTCTTGAAGATCACCATGGAGAAACTCATTTTTGACATCAAGCTAAAATAGGGGCCAACCAAAGTGGGCAGCTAAAGAAATGAGCATTTGTACAGAACCTATTTTAGCTATGGGAGAGAAGGTTTATGAACCACACCATAGGTCCAAGTATACCCCTTTGCAACAAGTTGGGCTTTGAACCGCTCAATGTTGCCGTCTTGATGGTATTTAACTGTATATACCCATCGACAACCAATGGCTTGCTTCCCAGGTGATAAGGAAGTGAGATCCCAAGTATTATTGGATTAAAGAGTATGACATTCTTCATCCATCGCCTTCTTCTAGTTAGGAGATGAGAAGGCTTCCTGTAGAGAACACAGTAGAGAAACAAATGATAGAAGGGAAATGAAACATTGTTGTGAAGGAGACAAGTGAGCAAAGGAGACATATTGAGAAAGGGGTGATCTGTGCAAGTACGCTTACCTTTATGAAGAGCAATAGGAAGATCAAGATTTGAGGATGGTGGATCTGTCAATGGAAAAGGCTCTGGTGGCATGTCAGAAGCTGGAGCTGGATCAACTACTGACGACAATTTTGGTTGCCTATCACGTCTAGAGTACACTCTGTGAATAAATGGTCGAATAAGCTCTTCCATAGTAGGTAAGGGAATAAAGATAACACCGAATTTAGAGGGAAGAGGAATAGAAGAAGGCTCATGTCCAGAGAAATAGGGTAAACTCTCAAAGAAGGTAACATCCGGAGCAATAAAAGCTTTTCGTAGAACAGGATCATAGCATTTGTAACCTTTTTGAGTACGAGAATAACCAAGAAAAATACATTTAATAGCTCTGGAGTCAAGTTTATCATGGCCAAGACCCAATTTGTGAACAAAACACAACCAAACACACGAGAAGGAAGAGAGAAAGGTGAGATGGAAGGAAATAAGATAGAGAAAGGTCACTCGCCATCTAAGATAGAGAAAGGTGAGATGGAAGGCATATGGTTTATGAGAAAACAAGAGGTGAGAACTGCATCACTCCAATAGATTTTAGGAACTGACATTTGAATCAACAAGGCTGAGTAGTTTCAATCACATGGCAATTTTTTCTCTCAACCACACCATTTTGCTGAGGAGTGTGTGAACACGAGGATTGATGTATAACACCATGATAGTCAAAATAAGACTGAAAATTATTATGAAAGTATTCCTTGGCATTATTTGAACGAAACACTTTAATACATACACCAAATTGATTCTTTATCTCAACATGAAAAGATAGAAAAGTAGAGATCTATTCTGAACGGTCATTCATTAAGTAAATCTATGTCATTCTTGAATAGTCATCAATAAATGTTACAAAATATCTAAATCCATTATAAGATGACACATGACTAGGACCCCATATATATGAATGGTCTAAAGCAAAAGGACTCAGGACTCTCTTATCATCCCTAACAACAAAAGACACTCTATGATGTTTACTCACTTGACATGACTCACAATCTAGCCGAGTTACAGACTCCAAGGTTGGGTCTTGTTTTTTCAAAACATAGAGAAAGATGGCCAAAACAACAATGCCACTGGTGTGGTGTAAGAGAGAAATGAGCCTTCTGAGGACCATGGTCATCCAAGTAGTACAGTCCTCCAACTTCATGACCGCCACCAATCGTCTTCCTTGTTTTGAGATCCTTAAAGACACAATATAAAGGATAATATGTTACTGAACAATGACAGGTTTGAGTAAGCTTACTTATAGACAAGAGACGAAAGGAAACTTAGGAACATAAAAAAACCAAGCATAAACTAAGGTCAGAACCAAGAGACACATTATCGGTACCAGTAATAGCAGAAGAAGAACCATTAGCTAAGGTAACGGTTTGCGAGGTAGAAGGTGGTGACAAGGATACAAACATATTTGAGGAGCCAATCATGTGGTCTGAAGCTCTAGAGTTAATTACCCAAGGTGAAGGTGAATTAGAAGCAAGACAAGCAGTACCTGACTTCACAAGTGTAACAGTGGCAAAACTAGAAGAGGTAGATTGGTGAAGCTTTTCATACTCCTCACATGAGATAGAGATTGTGTCTTTATCTTTACCAACATTGGAAGTAGGAGCATCTTCAGTCACACTAAGACTCCCAAAATCACCTTCCACCATTGCTTGGTTAGCCTAGGAAGATGGAAGGCCATGAAGATCATAACAAAAGTTGACTGTGTGACCTTTTTGTCCACAATGTGAGCACTCACGGTCTGAACCATGGCCACTACCACTACGACCACCACCACCCCTTGCACCACCAAACTTTCTATCACCTCCTCGTGCACCTCTAGGCTCACGACCAAAACCCCTCACATTTCCTCCACTCTCCTTATGTGGGAGAAAACCTCAGAAAAGGATGGAAGATCACTGCTCCCTGCGATTTGGCCTCGCATTGGTTCAAATTCAGACCTCAACCCATACAAAAATCTTGCTACATTTACATGTTTTCGTTGTTCTTGTTGAGTCTTCAAATCAGTGGATAGGGGTTGATAAACATTGGGCTCATTCCTTAAGCTTTTTAGAGAAGCATAGTATTCTTCAACACTTTTATCCCCTTGTTGAAGAGAAAAATAGCCTTGGTACAATTGGTAAATTCTTGTGACATTGTCTTGTCCAGAGCATAATTGCTTGGCATGGTTCCATATCTCCTTGGCTGTGTCTAGAAACATAAGGTTTACACTAATGTGATTCCCTATACTATTCCAAAGTGATGTCATAATTTGAGCATTCTCTTGTACCCATTCATTGTACCCTTTTGATTCACTTTTCAATGGACCCTCCTTGATGTATTTCAACTTACCTCTTGCAATGAGAGATACCTCAACCGACTTGGCCCATGGGATATAATTAGTACCGTTGAGTTTCACTATAGTTAATTGAGAAGTCATAAAATCTTATTGCACAACTACTATAGGTTTAGTGATACTATTTGATGAACCCATGAGTGAGAGTTGATCACTGGTTTGTCACCTAGGCAAACTATCAAACAGCTGGTATGCAATTACTGCAATACACCTTTTTCTTTAGGAAAAACACTAAGAATCATCAGCCATCTACTTCAGAAACACTTGGGAAAGATTGTACACTTGTCACAAGGTGTCACCACAACACAAACGACTATAAAATCACCACACATTGAGGAGAACCTACCTCACAACTCGAGACATCACAAAGCTACCCTCTTCGAACTACCGAATAGAGGGTTTTTAGAAAAACACCACCAACTCACACAACACTGCAACTTGAGGCATTAAAGCCTCTTTTCCAAGTGGCAATCAGTCCTCTTAAATCCTTTTCCTTTCCAACAAAGAATAGAAAATATTCTCTATTCCTAGGGCACAAAAAGTTGAGACGTGAACAGTGCCGCGAATGGTACAGTCGATCTCAAGGCTCTTATACCATGTTCTAACTTTAATAAAGTAAGAATAGGTGAAGAAAAGGATAGAAGAAAGAAAGAGAAGAAGATAGGAAGAGAAAGAGAAGGGGAAGAGAAGAAAAGGAGAGGAGAAGAGGGAAGGCTAGAAAGGAGAAATCTGTTCACCTCTCCTTACTGTCGACTCAGGTTATATTAACATTCTACTAAAGCTGAAATGACTACAATACCCTTATGAAAGTTACAGCAGATATAAGAGAGAAAGAATAGCATGAAAAAGACAATACTGCCCCTGTTAACTACTTCTAACAATTCTAACACTTACTAAAGCTGGCTTCTTTCACAACTTCTTGTTATATCCTAAAGTTTTCTAATTAATGAAATCTTTTCCGAGTTATTGATAAAAAAATCACTTTCGTTATCCCAACATGCTGCTCAATATGTCTGCATATGGTTAAGTAGTTAACATGTATTTAAGTGGACATTAGACTCTTCAAATTTCTTATTAACTACCTATGGTGATATTTCTGCTCACTGCTTAAAATATATGAATAAGGCTCATAACATATTTTAGATTTTATTTTATTTGTATTTTATATTTTAATCTCCTTTGCAAGTGCTTGTCTGAATTCCAGATAAAGGAAGCCTGTTCCAGGCTGACAGCAGTCATAAATTATTTTCGAAACCCTTTCTGAGATAATTCAATCATTGTTTGTGTAATGGCATGTAGCTGACACCAAATAGTAGGACTAGTCTTTATCTAGTTGAGATGAGTTTCTACAGTACAATCATGTTTCTTGAGATTTTTGCAGCATTTAACACAGCCTGTTAAAATTTCTTCAGGGTGTTGGATCTGGTTCTCAAACTGATATTTCCTTCTTATCATGGAATCACAAGGTTCAACATATATTAGCATCCACTTCACATAATGGAACTACAGGTGAGGAGGAATATGTTTATTTATTTTCAAATACTTTGATACATTAGTCAGCATTTACTCACTTTTATCTTTGCTGGATTTGTTTTGCCATTTACAGTGGTTTGGGACTTGAGGCGGCAGAAGCCAGTGATAACGTAAGCTATTTGTGCCTGAATTTGAGATGTTCTATACTTTTTTGATGGTAGATCTAAACTGTGAAATCTTACATCTTGACAAGGTTTTTTTTTGTGTTTTTAACAGATTGTCAGATTCAAGTAGAAGAGGAAGCTCTGTTTTGCAGTGGAATCCTGATGTTGCGACTCAGCTAATTGTTGCTTCTGATGATGATAGTTCACCTTCTCTAAGGGTACAATGTCTTTTGATTAATAACTTCTGTCATGTACATTTCTCTAGACTGTTTTGTTTTAGTCTGAGTAATCTTTATGATATTTATTACAGTTGTGGGATATGAGGAACCCAATGTCACCATCAAAAGAATTTGTTGGGCACACTCGAGGTTTGTTATCTGGCATGGTAGTGCTTCGAATTCTTCTTTTATTAGATTTGAATGTGTTGGAGGTGGTTAATGATCTGGACTATCTTTTAGCAAGATGATCATAATTGTTTTTGATGACTATGATTTGCAAATGGGGGCCCTTGCTCATGTCTGGATTTCATGTTCTATGTTTATCATAATTATATTTGTTCCCATTATATGTCTGGATTTCATGTTCTTTGTCAGAACTGAAAACCAAATCAGATTCTACTAAATGAAATTAATTACTCTTTAACTTATATATAATAAATTCAATAAATATGTTAGGCTTTTAGTGGTCTGATAGGGGTTGCAAAGTCAACTAGGCAGAAATCTTGGTTGTCCTCACTGCTCTTTGCATTGCTACATATCTGGGTTGCCTTAACCTAAACATTAAAAGAGATTACTGCAAACACAATAAAATGGTTAGGAGAAATTGATAGTGGCCCCTGGAGTTTAGTACATTTCTTCACTGAAGCTAGAGATACTCTAAATTCTATGATTCTGTGTTGGATTCCGAGAGAGCTAAACTCTATGCTGTTGGCTTAGCTAAATCTGGAGCTCACAGGGATTGCCTATATAGCGATGGTTCTATAACTGTGTAGTCCTGTGAGTCTTTTTGTTCTTTCTCTGATGTACATCTTCTTATGTATTCCTCTTTGTTTATTGAATGAAGTCATACCTTTCTCTCAAAAAAAAAATAATATAAATATGAAATATTGAATTTATTATATATAAATTTACATATAGTATATATTATTTATATATAATTATATAAAATTTATATGTTAAAGCAGTATTTATATATTACAAAATAATCAGATCAGATAAGGTTAAATCTGCATTCAATCCGGTTATGCAAACGGATCATCAGAATCAGAGATAATCAGGTTGTTTTAGTTTTTTCTTTTTTCTTTTTTTTAGGGAATGGTCCCAAAAAAACTACCATCAAGGAGGTAAAATCCATTTCCCCACAATATTCTCAAATGAACAATAATAGAATCCATACTTTTTTAGCACAAAATGAATCTGAAGATTCAACTAATATTAAAAGCCTGACCTTCTTCTGGTGACTCTTAAAGTTGTTGGAGGTCATTATTAAATAACCCCGAACAACCCATGAGCAGCAAGCTCAACAAGGGAAAATGACAGAATAATCCCTGAATAAAGAACAAGAAGCCAGAGTAGATCTGTACATTCCAAGTCCCTGACACAACTTTTCATTTCTTAGTTAGCAGACAGAAATCAAAAGCACAGTCAAACCTGTCTGGGAGAGATGGCAATCTACAAGCTTTTATTACTTTGAAAATGAGATGGTGTTTGGAATACAGCAAGCAAGATTCTCCTCTTGTCCACTGCCAAGCTACCCAGTGGATTTTTTTTTTTTTTTTTTCTGAGTTGCCTTTTAGAGGGAAGAAGCATGAGCATGGTTTGAAACATTGAATTCATGTCAGTGTGCTTCTATGCTTACCTGCACTACCAAAAATCCTTGACAACCATCATCCAAACAAGGTTCATATCTACATACTACGTTTTTGTTCTTTATGTGGTGTATCTTCTTCATTCTTGTCCTGACTCATCATTTCTATAGGTTTTCTTGTTATCTTTGCAGTTCTCTTAACCTTCTTTTTAGACTTTAGTTATTATGCATGGATTGCCCTTAATGAAATGTTTCTGTTATTGATAAAAAAGTTATGCATGGATTGTCATATTAACTAGCAAAAATAGTATTGTTTGGTATTGATTGTTTAATTTTTTGTCTTTATTGACTATGCCAGGTGTAATTGCAATGTCATGGTGTCCTAATGATAGTTCCTATTTGCTTACCTGTGCTAAAGATAACCGGACAATTTGCTGGGACACATTTACAGGAGAGGTAGGGGAACCTTTAATCAGCTTCAGTGATCTTTTTTTTCCTTGGTACAATTGTGCTGGTCTGGATTTCAACTTCCTCTTCTCTGCTAATATGATTTTCTTGTGTAGTTGTCACATGTTTTTTCTAATATTTCAGTGCTGCCTTTTCGGTTCAATTTGTGCAGATTATATCTGAATTGCCAGCAGGGACTAACTGGAATTTTGATATCCACTGGTATCCAAAGATACCGGGCATCGTATCAGCTTCTTCATTTGACGGAAAAATGGGCATCTATAATATTGAGGTTGACATCTGTTGTAGAAATTCTTCTTTATATCTATTTATCAAAAAAAAAAAAGAATCTTCCTTATATGGTTTTTACAGGCCCTCTTAGAGTGAAATAATTGATCTGCTGTTTGATTAGATTTCCATTTTTGTATTTGAGAGTAGAAATCTCTCAACTAATCTGTACTAACAAATGAAGAAAAGCTTGTCTTATATATGGCAACTTGGTAAGGTAGAAACCTCTGATAAAGCATAAGTTTTCTTCCAGTTTTGCAATTAATTCCCAAGTTAGGAGCTCCATCTATCATGTTCTCTTTCTTGACTTGATTCCTGCTGCATTAGTGTTTATGCTGTTTAACTCAAAGCATTTTTATTTAGTTTGTCAGAGGGTCTTACTCTCAAGTTGCATCCTTGATTGTAATTGTTATCTCATATCTATGTCTCTTATGGTGCAGGCCTGCAGCAAACTAGCTGTTGGCGAGGGTTCCTTTGGCACAGGTATGTATTTTTTCATACAACAACTAGGTTTAGTTTTTCCACAAATGTTGCTTCACTTTTGCTAAATCATCTATCATCCAACTTATTGCCTACTATCCTAATTTTATTTAACCACGGCTTTGGAACCTATTCTTATTAACATGATGTTCTTGCCATTCCCTTAACTTGGAAAGCTAGAAAAACAAATGGTTTAAAGAGCTAATATTAGATGCTTTTGATCCTATATTGGGGTCATGTGATAACAGATGAACTGGCTGGTATTATTTTTTATTTTAGTGAATAAGGTTTTAGGGAGATTATGGGCTCCTTAATGGTTGAAGCTGAAGCTGAGTAGTTTATTCCACCCTTGAATATTTTTATTGTTTAATTATTTTATCTACTAAAAGACAAAGGGTTAAACAATTTCAGCTGTCATTAAATGGCCCCTAGGTTAATCTTTAAGATCCTCTTTTTCAGTTTAATGAAAATTTTCTATTTATCTTTCAAAAAAAAAATTACATCCTTTGGAAATTTGCAAAGGCAGTAAATGAATTTGAAGAATAATACATAGATTCAACAAGACCAATTCTACCTATCAAGATATTCGTTTTCCACAGTAGTTTCTTTTACCCCAAAAAGATAATTGATACCGACCCACCCCAAGAGAGAGGTCAAGACAATCATCATCTAACCCCTATCCCCATTCCCCACTCTATGGGGTCAGCTACATGATTCCTGTTTCACAATTCCATTCTGTTTAATGCCAAATTCATTGTTAATTAAGACCACTTAAATCATTTCTTACTAATTGGGCTCATGGCATTTTTGGTCTGCCCCTAGCCTTCTAAACTCTACAACTTCTAACTGATCACTTTTTCTTAATGGTGCTGAAGGTGATCTTCTATGCATGTGACCAAACCATCCAAGTCTACTTTCTCTCATTTGATCACCTATTGGAGCTACTCCTATATTCTTTTGAATGATTTCATTTTTGACTCTGTCCTTTCTAACTTTTCCACTCATTCATATCCACCTCAGCATATGCATTTCTGCCACACTTATTTTTTTGGACATGTTGTTTCTTGACTGAACAACACTCAGCTCCATGCAGAATTGCTGGCTTTAAAACTGTTTTATAGAATTTTTCTTTTAATCTAAGTGGTATCATCCCTCCATTTTGCCCATCCTGCTATAATTTTATGGGTGATCATTTCAGCCCGGCCCGGAAATTCCGGGCTTGGGCCTGGGTTTTGTGTTCAGGCCCGGCCCAGGCCTGGGCCCACATCAGGCCCACAAATTTTAGGGCCGGGCTTGGGCTTAATACTTCAAGCCCGGCCCACATATACTTAAACTTGCACATTTTGTGTATAATGTATACATATGTATACATGTTATTTTACATTATATTATATATTTTATATATAAATATTATAACATGACATGTATAATTATATTATATGTAATATTTTATATTATATAATGTATAAAATAAGTTTATATGCATGTTATGTCATTTAATATATAGATATATAATATTTTATATTATATAATGTATAAAATAAGTTTATATGCATGTTATGTCATTTAATATATAGATATATAATGTTTTACATATGAGTGACATTGGCCCGGAATCAGGCTCGGCCTGGCCTGGGCCTGTATAGACCTGGTCTAGGGCATATGATTCAGGCCCGGAACCCCAGGCCAGGTCAGGCCTAGGAGCTATAGCCCTTATCATAAGTGCAAAGCCCGGCTTGGGCCCGACCTGGCCCATGATCACCCCCAGGTGACATCCTCCAAAATCTGTTCCTTATGAATTTTCAAACCCAGTGATTTAAAAGGCGTGTCTCAGGTGCACCTAGAGGGGCGTGGTACAAAGGTGGCTCGTAGAATCAGGAATTCAATATGTTTTACATTACTTTAGCCACTTGAAGTAATGCAATTGAATAAAAAAAAGATTGTGGGTTTTACATGCTTGAAAATTCTCTATATGATTAATTTTATTTTTAAATTTTCATTTGAATACTCTTTACATGTTATGTTTATGTATTTTAATTTTAGACAATTGATTTTATAAAACATTTATTTTAAAACTTAAGTTTATATTTTTTATTAATATTATGTTTAATATTTTTTGCATTTTTTGAATTTTCTGACATTTTTTTTTTGGTTTTTAGCATTTTTTTGTATTTCTGCGCCTTGCTTCAAAAAAGGTGCTTGCCTCACCTTGTGCCTTGCGCCTTGGGCATAAATTGGTCCTTGTGATTTTAAAACAGTGGTCAAACCAAGGTACTGGAAAAGGTTATATTTTAGAATTTAGATGGATTCCAAGAGAGATGAATAGAGTGGCCCGTTCTCTAGCCAAATCTGGGATGGGGAGGGATTTTTTGCACAGTGACTCCTCAATGCCTTTGTAAGTCCTTGGGGTTTTCATTTTTTGGTATGTGGTCTTGTTTTGGCTATTGTTTTGTACATCTCCTCATGTACATCCCCTGTTTTTAATGAAAGTTATCCTTTTATCTCAAAAAAAAAAGGTCATACTATCTCTTGGTCTCCAATTCCAAGTGTACCCTGATTTGCACTCCTATTATTATTAAATTTACGTTGTATATATTCTGTTTTACTCCTACTTATTTTGAAACCCCTTGTTCTAAGGTTTTCTTCCATAAATTTCGTTTTGGATTTATTCGCTCATTTTTTTGTATGGATAACATGAAAGGATTTTATTAATATAAACAGGAAAATATGTACATATGCAGCTCCCACTGAGGAGGTTAATTTACCTCACCCAAACAAAAAGAAAAATGATTACAACTGAGCCCAGGACAACTGCCCCCTATTTACCCTTTGCTTAGCCAGGGTGTCCACCATGACATTTGCCTATCTGGATACCCATTGAAAAATAATCATGTTCCTTGTTAACCTTTTAATTTGCTTTAGTACATCTCTATAGCTCCAAACTGCTGTTTTCTTGTCTTTTAGCCTTCCTATCATCACTTGAGAGTCACCTTGAACAATTACTCTTTCCAAATTCAACTCTTTTGCTTTTTGTTAATTGTAAAAACAGCCAAGAGTTCAACTTTTGTAGAATCTCCCTTGTAGGGCCCAGAAACAGAGCTAGTATATGACCTTCCTTACCTCTAAAAATTCCTCCCACACCCAAAATTCATAGGTTACCTGAGCTATTCCCATTAAAATTTAGTTTTGTGTAATTGTCTTCAGGTGTGCTTTTCTCTTTCATGATGCGGATAAAGCCACCTCCGTCCAATTCCTTCTAATATCATCACGGAGTAGGACGAAAAGATGTCCAAGGTTACCTGTGCTGTTCCCATCAAAATTTAGTTTTATGTAATTGTCTTCAGGTGGTTCCCAGTCTTTTAATGCTTTGCTCTTTCTTGGTGTAGATAAACCCACCTTCCTCCAATTCCTTCTAATATCATCAAAGGAGTAGGACAAAAAATGTCCAAAGATATTGATAAAAAACGTCCAAAGATTTTACCCAATGAATCACCTTTCCTAAAATGCAATCCAAGATTGCTTCTAAATTTCTTTCTTTTTCATTGAAAATCCTTTCATTCCTTTCTTCTCAAACTGTCCATAGTATTGCAGCTCATGCACTTCTCCATAACAACCCCCCTCTTTTTCTGAGGCCACTTAAAGGTACTAGCAGTCTCTAGCATCAAACACACTGGCCAGGCTTTTAAGCATAGTCCACCTGCATGAAAATGAGAAAAAGAACCATTCCCAATTTAAAGTAACAGAAGGACAGGAGATTAAGAGGTGGTAACCAGTCTCATTTGCTAGCCTTACAAATTATGTGCCAATTAAGGGATAGATAGATATTCTTTCTTTCTTTCTTTCTTTTTTTTTTTTGTAAAATATCCAAAGTATTAATCTTCTCATGATAAACTTGCCAGCAGAAAGCCTCAATTATTGGGGGAACATGCTTATTCCAAATTTCTCTAAAAGGGAAGGGGTGAAGAAAACCTGTGAAGAATTGAAGACATAAAAGAAAGAAGCGCAAGAAAAATACCTTTGGACTAGGAACCCATATTTTTTTGATTGGTGATCAATAGAATTTCATTTCATTATAAGGATGAAAAATAGTATAGATTAAGATAAATTTTTAAAGACATGAGAAGCAAAGCTTTTCAAAAGTTACAAGATTTTCCTACCAATCCCTCCAAGGCTAATTTTCTTGTCTGGGTGCTGGCTTTAAACAAGTTTCTCTCAAAAGTTAATCTGATCTCAACTGTGACCTTTGTGGCTTGGTACCTGAATCTGGGGATCACCTCTGCATGCACTGCCCTGTGTCTGCTAAACTGTGGGAGCACTTCATCAAGGTGGCTGGTATTAACTGGGTTATACCTCGGTCTGTCAAGGATGTTCTGTGCAGTTGGAAGATTTCTGGTCTGAGTAAGAAAGGGAAGCTGGTCTGGAAAACAATTCCTGCCATCATCATAGTTTCTCTGTGGTCTGAAAGGAATAGCCGAGTGTTCTGCAGCAAAGCCAGAGCTCCTAAAGATCTGTTAAAGATTGCCGTCAGCAGACTTGCTTCCTGGTTATCTGTTGTTTCAGAATTTAAAAGCCAGAATGTTTTTCAGCTTCTTGAATCTCACTCTATTTGGGTTCTGTAAGCTGTTTGTCTTCCCGGTGTATTCCACTGGGTTGCTGTTGTAACTCTTTCCTCAATCATTAATAAAAGTTTTTACCTTACCTTTTCAAAAAAAAAGTTGCAAGATTTTCCCAAATCTGCCCAGAAAAGTTGATCCATATGTACCCCTTGTTTAGCCAAAGTATCAGCCATCCCATTTGCTGTTCTCTTGTCCCATTTGAAGTTTACCTCAAGATCCTTTGGTAAACTCTTAATTTTTCTAATTAGATGTCTGAACTTCCACATACCTGGATATCTGTCGTCCATCTAGGAAATTACTAATTTTGAATCACCTTCTTTCCGAGTCCCTTACTCCGATTGGTCCTGAAAGTAGGGCTACCATTTTCCTTGCATCATCCCTGAACAC